CAGATGTACACACTGGAACTCTTTCCCATGTTGCTGTCTGTGTTTATTGTGCTATGATGTGTTGATACCTGTGCATTCCTGTATTATCCTTCTGTGTTACACATTTTGATGTTTTTTTCCTCGCTACCTGGCCTGACCTGTCTCCCCAATGTCATGTTTGTATTGTATGTATCTCATCTCATCTCATCTCAATATTCCTGGATGTGTTCTGGCTCCTCCCATTTTACCCCTTATGTGGACTTGGTGCAGCCAAATATCCCAGAATGCATTTCATCCAAAACTCAAACACAGCAGTGACAGAGGACAGCTGCTAAAAAAATATGACTCTGTGTAAAAAAATGAACTTTTAAGATATTTTAAGGCGAGAATGTCGCTGTGTGAACTTCAAATATCAGGACATCACATATTTGTAAAAGCGCTCCGACGTTTTCAGAGACGTCTGTTACCCACCAGCTGTCAGCTGACCATGAGGTCAAGGGTCACCAGAGCGAGAGCAGCGGACTCCATCGTTTTTAACCCCCCGCTGTCTTTCACTGCTCAGGTTAAACATATAAGTCACTTAGACAAAATGTTCATGTTTGCTTTATTTGCCAAAGTGCCTGAAATACTGTTTTATCTTTTTTCTCCCACACCATGAGAAATTTCACTGCAAATATTAATCACAGTAAAATTACGAGGGGATGGCAGTGAAACCTCTGGAGCTGTGATGTCATCAAGTCATCAAGTACACTGATGTTCCAGCTGTGGAACGATCGCGCTGCGTTCTCAGGAAGTGTGAACTTACAACGCACGGACTAGTGAGAACACGAGTGCGCAGTCGCGTACTGGAGTAGTGACAAACGGGTTAGGGGTGTGAGTGTGTGTGTGTGTGTGTGTGGTCACCCTCAGGCTGTACTGTGCTGTGTGTGTGTGTGTGTTGTGTGTGTGTGTGTGTGTGTGTGAGTCGTGTGTGTGTTTGTGCTGTTTGTGTGTGTGTTCGTGTGTGTGTGTGTGTGTGTGTGTGTGTGTGTGCTGTGTGTGTGTGTGGTGTGTGGGTGTGTGTGTCGTTTGTGTGTGTGCTGTGTGTGTGTGTGTGTGGGTGTGTGTGTGTGTGAGGTGTGTGTGTGTGCGTTGTGTGTGTGTGTAGTGTGTGTGTGTGTGTGGGAGTGTGTGTGTGCTGTGTGTGTGTGTGTGTGTTGTGGTGTTGTGTGTGTGTGTGTGTGTGTGTGTGTGTGTGTGTGTGTGTGTGTGAGTGTGTGTGTGTGAGTCTGTGTGTGTGTGTGTGTGTGTGTGAGTTGTGTGTGTGTGTGTGTGTGTGTGTGTCTGTGTGTGTGTGTGTGTGTGTGTGTGTGTGTGTCTGTGTGTGTGTGTGTTGTGTGTGAGTGCCACCTGTCTGTCTGTGCTCTATGGTCAGTCTGCCCGGGCTCAGCTGCATGCTGCCTGCTCATGTTCGTACCGAGGTACCACACCCACACGTTCCCCCACCAACACCGCACACACACACACACACACACACACACACACACGTTAGTTGAGTGGATCTGTGGTCAGTACCTCTGCCTGACCAGCAGGGGGCAGCCTGGTTACACTTTTGTTTCTGCTGGTTACAAACTGATCTGTGACTGAGGACCAGAGCTGATGTAACACCAGACAAGTTACTCATCAGAGTACTCTGATTACTTTTCTGTTGTAGTTTGAGAGTCTAAAGCACGTGTGTCAAAGTCAAGGCCCGCGGGCCACATCCGGCCCGGCGTACATTTACATCCTGCCCGCGAGATGATTTTAGATAGATGTACTATTACTGTTATGCATGGCCCGGCGATATGAGGCGCTAATAACACACAGACTACAGATCCCATAATGCAGCGCTGCAGCCTCCTTGCTGAACGCTAGGCTAACTGGGAACATTCCCGCGTCAATCAAGTCAAACTTCTGTTATTGAAGCTCGCTGCTCACAATGGTGGAGAGAAAAGTTGACTCTGAAAGCAGAGCCTTTCAGCGCCAGTGGGAGGCTGAATATATGTTTACAGACATGCTGGTAAACCGTGCGTCTTATTAGTGGAGCTAATGTGGCTGTAATGAAGGAATTTAATTTAAGACGGCACTACGAGACAAAACGTCAGGATAAGCTGAAAAACCTAAACGCAGAAACTACAGGAAGTAGAAGAGCTGAAGAAGAATCTGACATTTCAGCAGACGTTTGTCACCAGAGCAAAATCACAAAGTGAAGCTGTTGTGAAAGCAAGTTTTATTGTAGCAGAGGAGCCAAATCAGCCCGGTACCACTCTGAAGAGCTGCATGATGAAGCTGTGCGACGTCTTGTGTCCAGACAAAACGCAGATTTTGGCAAATGTGAGCCTGAGCAGAAATACGATTGCTGATCGGGTTTGTGAGATGGCCACTGATTTAAGAACACAGTTGTGTGAAAGAAGCAAAAACTTTATTGCATACTCTCTTGCTGTGGATGAAAGTACAGACATGATGGACATTGCACAGCTGGCCATCTTCATCCGTGGAGAGGAAATATTGAACATTAAATCGATGCACGGGACAACGACAGGAAAAGACATTTTTTAAAACGTATGTCAAAGTGTAACCGACATGAAACTGCCCTGGGACAAACTTGTTGGACTTACAACAGATGGAGCGCCGGTGCTGTGCGGTGAAAAAAGCGGACTAGTCAGCAGGATGCGAGTAAAGATGCAGGAGAAATGTACCGGTGAGTTAACAGCATATCACTGCATCACACACCAGGAAAGGCTGTGTGGTAAAGTCCTAAAAATGGAGCATGTAATGATCACCGTGACGCAGACCGTACATTTTATCTGAGCTAAAAGTTTAAATCACCGTCAGTTTCAGTCTTTTATGTGGGAAATAGATTCAGAGTTTGCCCACATTCCTTCATGCAGAGCTCCGCTGGCTGAGTGGGAAAAGTTCTCAATCGAGTTTTTGAGCTCAGCAAGGAAACCTGTCAGTTCATGGACACGTGTGACGCAGTGAAGCTGTCACTAATGCACCAGTGCAGCCTGCCTCACTTTCCCTGTTGCAGTAATGTTGAACCAAGTCAGCGCACTTTGCTGAGCTGCACCTGTGCAGATTCAGATGCAGCTGCAGTGTAACGATGCACTCAGGGAAAGTACGACACTGAATGTCCCGCACAGTTTATTAGCTCCACTCCTGCAGCAGCGCCCAGCTCCGTCTACATGCGGCTCCAACCTTGTGTTTGCTCTCATTTACTTTTTCTGGGGTTTTGGCAGCATGTTCGTATCTCTAACTTGCATAATTTTCACACGATATATTTCACACGAGCAAAATATTTAAAGTTAAAGTTTTTTTTTTTTTTAAGTTTATTTATTCTGGAATAATATTCCTGTCTGTTTTTATTCATATTTATGTTTAAAAAACAGTTTTAGTGTTCAATAAATGTTTGTCTTGTTTGGCCCGCGACCTAAAGCGTGCCTTGAGTTTGACACCCCTGCTTTAAAGTACTCCTATTGTTTTGGACTTCATGTCTTCATGAGTTATTTAGAGAAAAACGTTATCAATAACTCCAACAGGTATTAGTTGTAAACACCTGTTGGAGTTATTTATCATTTTTTCTCTAAATAACTCACCTGCTCTGAAGACCTGCTGTGTGTGTGTTTGTGTGTGTTTGTGTGTGTTTGTGTGTATTACACTGAGGATCTGTGTGTGTGTTTGTGTGTGTTTGTGTGTGTTACACTGAGGATCTGTGTGTGTGTTTGTGTGTATTACACTGAGGATCTGGTCTCCCTTGCGGAGCTCCCCGCTCAGGTCTGCTGGGCCTCCTGCGAGGATGAAGGAGATGAAGATGCCCTCTCCGTCCTCTCCGCCCACGATGTTGAAGCCCAGGCCGGTGGAGCCGCGCTGCACGCAAACCCTGCGAGGCTCCCTCGAGTACTCGTCCTCTCCCATCATGCCGCGGGGGATCGGGGAGTATCGCCGCGGTGACGGAGGAGGGAGGGCTTGTGGGTAATCGCACATATAGTCCGGCTCCATGTAGGCTGCAGAGAGGACAGAAGATTCAGCAGCTGATCTCTGACATCTGGATCAGGGACAGGTCTAACATCTGGAACAGTGACAGGTCTAACATCTGGATCAGGGTCACGGGTCTAATATCTGGATCAGGG